CATTTGGGACTGGAAGGCATCGACGTGGTCGTTGGGGTCGAAGGACCCATCATACTTGTCTAGAGAGGGGAGTTTGAAATCTCTGGGCATGGGGACTGAAAGGAGTTCTGATGAGAGGAGGGAAGGGACTGAGAGAATAGGGGCGGCTTTTACCTCGTCCGAGCTTGTCTCTTCTTTACCTCGGAGCTCGGGCAGGATGCGGGTGGTATTTCGGCGACTTCGTCGGCGTCTTCGTTGCTGCTTAGAGGGCCTAGTATTGGCGTTGTTGGCCTCGGTGTTGCCAAGCTCGACGGGCCCGGACGGTTGGTAGTTTGTTGCTAGGACACCGAATCGGTTCTCTGTGAGCGGGAGCTCAAACTTGGAGTGCCGAGGTGCTGACTTGACTGGCAAGGAGGTTCCCGATCCGCCGGCGAGCTGCGAGGCGGGGGTGGTCAGTCTTTCCCTCCTGCCTGGGGATGAGGCCTGGCTCTTGGAGGGGTTCTGAAGTTGGGAGGCTTCTCCTCGGTGAAGGCATCCGCCCTGAGGAGAGGGCTGAACCAAAGGATCTTGGCATGGTCACATTTGAACAAGGCATGCATAATTGATTCTGGTTCTTTTGCACAAATAGGGCAAGAAGTGGATTGGATCAAATTTCTATTTGCTAGGTTTACTTTGATAGCTATTGCATTCCATAAACATCTCCAAATGAAATGTTTAATTTTAAGGTCTATTTTTAGTTTCCACAGCTCCTTTTAGGTTTCTCTACTTTGAGTGTGGCATCTATTGGGTGGTTGGGCTGTAGGTAAGAAGTAAGCTTATTTAACAAAGAAGCGCAAATGGTCATTGACTCATTGTCCAGGCCGGTGAAGCCTTGTTGAGGGCAAAATTATTAAAAATATATAATATTTTGTATTATATGTCATGTATGTATACATTATATAATATAGAATATTAATCTATATTATATAATATAGGGTAAATTTTTTAAACTACTCTTATGGTTTAGTTAATTGACTAAGTGTACCCTTACTTGTTAAAAATTGACAAATGTTATCT